TGTTTTATATATTTATTTATCTACTTACCCAGCTCAGAAAATATAATGCTGCTCTCTGCTAATACTCAAAGGCCATGTTTGATTTACAAGACTAATAGTGAGGTATTAATAATTCTATCAAATTAGTGTGGTATTCACTATCCAATTGGATTAATAGGATAAACTATCCATTGGATTAATAGGATAAATTATCCATTGGATTAATAATCTCACCCCTATCCCATTACTAATAATCCTACAAATTTGTTGGATTAATTATCCATTGGATTAATAATTCTAAACCAAAATGTTAAAACAAACATAGGATAATTGGATCCACAAATAAATAATCTCAATCCAATACTCTAATTCATCCAATCAAACATGCCCAAAGGTACTGTTTTTAGTTTCACTGTTTTTCTTTATCCTGGTAAGTATTTCCCAATTTAACATTTTAAAGTTGTTAAAGTTCATGCATTTTCATTCTCCTGCCACCCAGTTTTCACTTCTCAATTTCTGTTTCGGATCCATAAATTATTTTAATCCATTCCTGTGGCTTTGGCTTTGGTTTTGGTTTTGGTTTCGGTTTCAGTGAAGGGGTGCACTCGCACATCCCTACTTGACATCACTACATGACATCAGTGATGAACCTATTTGTATGACTCCTTTCAGCTTTGACTTTGAGCAGCACGCCCTGTCTGAGGAACAGATGAAGGAGCTGATTTACAGAGAGGCACTTGCATTTAACCCAAAGCATCAGCAGATCATGTGAAAGAGCCACAATATGCTATTGTAATTCTGACCAGTGTGGGTGTCCCATGTTTTTATATAATTTAGCAAGTTACATCTTCATGTATATATATTGTTCCATCCAAAATATGGATAGCTCTCAAACTGAAATTTGTGATTATGGGCTTACCGCATACTGTCTGTCAGTTCTGGAAGTCTGAAACAACTGATATGCTATTTGTATGGGGTATTTTTATTTTTATTTTTATTTTTATTAGTTGAACCGCTGATGATTGGATCTTGCCCTCTTTGGGGTGCGGGTGTGTGTCGGGATATTATTTTTGCTTCCCGTTAATAATAGTGTTTGTAAGTTCTAATTAATTATTTTGCATATGTATATTGAACACTTGGAAAACAGAATCTAAAGTGTTTTAGGGATGATAAAAAGATATTATAATGAAGCTCGGTACAATCCTCATGTAGAGGCTCCACCGAATCTGATTCCAAAATAATTCTGTCAAGCCTTTCCTGTTGCTCATTAGCTAATAAGCACAATGCTTTCCAGATTGTCAGTAGTAGCTCTAAAATTAACGTTTTACAGCAACCAACCATAACCTCAAAATGTTGATCTTGAGCAAAGGACTTCCTCCATGCTATTCTAAGATACAGTACAGAAAAATATTCTTTTTATGGGGAAAAAAATAACAGTAACATAATCAGAGCTTATCAATGTTGGAGCAAAGAAACTGCAAGAACAAAAGCCAAAGGTGATTTAAGAAAAAAACCACCACTTCATCTTGCATTTTTGGGAGGAGGGAGGGCTGAAAAGTACAACTGCCATTAAGAAAACATCAACTCTTGAGTTCCAATGAACTGCTGCTAACAAATATAATTGAATTCCAATGAACTGCTGCTAACAAATACAATTGAATTCCAAATATGTCATTTTTAGTTCATTAAGTCATAGTAACAAATACAATTGAATTCCAAATATTTGTTGTATTTATAGTGATAAATCCGAAATGGTACACCAAAATGCACCTCTACCTGTATGTACCATACCGATAGTAGAAACAGCACACTAGCTGGTAAGGGATTGACAACATTGCCTGTGATAGAACAGCCTAAATCTTATCTCACCTAAAAAACAATTGCATCTCAATCCTAGTAGGGACAGACTGTCTTGACCAAACTGTGGGTTCATCGCATCCCCTAGTCTGCTGACGATGAGATTACTTCATTTCAACTGGAGGTTCACAAAACCATTCACAACAAAGATACTAATAAAACAAATTAATTTTAGGTTACTGGGTGCCCTTTTTTATATGTTTCCTAGAATAGAAAAGGCTAGGAAAACAAAATCTAAATTGCACAAGGATTTGAATGCACCTTGTATGAATTTTGGCCACCACATAACTTGAAATCGAAGTAAAAAGAGTATGGTACACTTGTCAGAGCTAGCAAAATGACCAATTATACTGACAGCAACAACTATAAGAAACCATTCCTCATCACATGTACTTCAAAATCACTTCTTCAAAAATCTTTGAGGTGAAATTGGACATTCCATCAAGATATTTGAGCCAACAACCTCAAGATTTGCAGAGATTTTATTTTTATTTTTAAAGGGTTTGTAAATTTGAGTACAAGTTTATTGATAGTTGGATTATTTAATATTTACAACAAAAAAGAAAAAAGAAAAAAGAAAAAAGAAAAAAAAAGAAGAGAGAATAACATTGACTACAAATTTATTGATAGTTGGATTCATTAATATTAAAAAAATAAATAAATAACATTGACTAAATTTTTTTTGATAATTGAATTTTTTAATATTTGAAAAAATAAAAAAAGAAGAAGAATAACATTAAGTAAAAATTTATTTATTCTTTAGTTGGTATAAGTCCAAATTTTATAATAATGCAAAAAGAGTATTTGTGAAATTTCACATGGCTAATCTCATCTCTATCTCTCAAAACAAACATAAACTATTATTAGTCCATTGGTTATCAAACAAACACAATTTTTCTTCCATTCTACCTTTGAAAATAAATGAGTCGTTAAGGCTATTAGATTTGAATTTTCTTTCCAATGAATAATCTCCCCTCCCTGTTCATTAGCGGTCATTTTCATCAGTAGTTCTTTGCATATCGAAGAGCATCAACAGCAACTTAGCCAAAACACCCATTTCAATTACTTTGGATAGCATCAAACAACAAAGGCAACTCCAACAGCCTCAGTAAAGGCCTGCTACCTTGGCAAAAATGCTACAATGACTCGATGTAGCCGGCAAGCTACTTTAGTGGCAATTTATCTGGACTGTTAATATAATTGTTATAATTGTTAATTGAATAGCTTTAGCTTTAGTATATAAATTGTATAGCTTTAGCTTTATTCCTTTTTTTTGCTTTCGGTGATAGTGGGTCTTTGTTCGGTATCCAATGTTCCATTCTTCTCTCTATAAAGAGAGAGTTCCTTCTCTTTGTAATTATTATATACAATACAGAAACAACACAACAATCTTGTAACAACATCAATCAATAATATACATCAATTTGTTTTACATGGACATTTATTTATTATTTTTTTATAATTTTTCTTAATTTTAACTTGCTTGGCAAGAAATTGTTTATTGCGGTTGTTTCATAATCAACTTATGTTTCTCTGCTATTATAAATTCAATTACAAGTCTCTTTTAAAACTATTCATTGATCAATCATACATTGTGATAATGTCACCTAATATCACTATTACATTCAATATGACCTTGTTTGAAAACTACATATTTAAGTCAAAAAGTCACTATAAGTTATGACATTACTCTCTCTATTTTCTTATCCATCTTTTCGTAAAAAATCAAAAAATTATTAAAATAACATATTCCCAAACGATTTGGTTATAGTCTCAAAATATTTGCACATTAAATTGTATAAAAATCAGGAAAGATTTTGAGACAAGAAAGAAAAAGAATTTTGAATAGCGAATTTCATGCCATATCTACCCTGTACATTGGATGTTGAGCTTTGAATGTCATAGTATTCATTTATTTCCTAATTTATGCAATAGTATTCCTCTTTTATTTAATTTTCTAAATTCTGCATTTTTTAAAAATGAGATTTTGTTTTAGGTCCAACTCTTACGGATCAATAGGTCAAAGCATTCAATTGTGTTTACTTTGGTTCTGTGGGTCCTCAATCCCCATTTATGGTTTTTTTTTTTTATAAAAAAAAATAGGGGCATTCTATTTGAACCTAAAAAATATCTTGGTCCGCCCAATTTAAATTTATAAATTTTAATTCTTATTATATTTTAATGTGAATTTACTAATAAGGATAATCTATATTAAACCCTAAAATAAAATATATTTTTTTCTCATTGTACACCCCAATCCATTATTCCAATTCAAATCTCTACATCTCTTCCCCAAGAGATCAAAATTAGTTTGTCTTGTTCTTCTTTCGCACTTCAAAACTCCAATCCACCTTACCAAAACTCACCATTATTATTAACATCATTATTTTTTATTATTTTGAAATCATAAACCCTAGAAGAAAGTTTGAACAATCAAACAATGGAGGAAAGTGATAATCAAGATAATATTTTGAAGCAATCCATCAAAGAGAAGGTAAGCATTCATATAAAAATCAAAATATTTTCTTGATTATCACTTTCCTCCATTGTTTGATTGTTCAAACTTTCATCTAGGGTTTAGGATTTTAAAATAATAAAAAAAAACAATGATATTAATGATAATGGTGAGTATCAGTAAGGTGGATTGGAGTTTTGGAGTGAGAAAGAAGAAGAAAAAGAAGAAGAAGACAAACTGACTTTGATCTATTGGAGAAGAAGATGTAAAGATTTGAATAGAAACAATAGATTCGGGTGTACCATAAGGAAAAAAAGAAATTATTTTAGAATTTAATATGGATTGTCCTTATTAGTAAATTCACATTAATATATAATAAGAATTAAAATTTATAAATTTAAATTGGGCGTACTAAAATATTTTTTGGGTTCAAATAGAATGCCCAAAAAAATAGGGTTCGATTGAATTTAATACAACTTGGAGAAACAACCCAGCAACCCACTTAGGCCTAGTTTGGGAAGACTAAATAAGTGTACTTTTTGACTTTTTATGAAATATGGGTTGGGTTTGGGTTGGGTTTGAAGTGATGTGTTAGAGAGGTGATGTGACTTAAATAAGATGATGTGACTTAAATAGGATAGTGACTTTTTGTCTTTTTTGTCTCATGCCAAACTTGGCCTTAGTTTATAGAATTCTTTTTCTAACTGTGTGAACAAGCTTTAAATTGCTTTTCTATGTTTTCCAAGAATAACTTGGATTTTTACCAAAACAAATGTGAACTATAATTTGTTGCATGACTCTTTCTAATTTTTTACATATTTTTTCATAAAAAACTAAAAAATTATTAACATAGTCTGTTCCCATACCAGGCCTAAATATACGTGTTTCTATATGATCAATAAGAAAAGAGAGAGAAGAAGAAAAGAAAAGATAGGATTACACTGACTCTTAGCTGAAAGAAACAAATATATACCAGCATCATCCCTCTCCAAAGCCACAGCAAAAAATCTTGAACTGATCAGCGTTTGTGTCAATCTTCTATAACAAGAATTAGTTGGAAGTTGTTTAAACCATCCCACAAGTTAGCGACGAACTATAATTAATAGTCAGCACGAAGGAAGGTCTCGTAAGCTGTCCCTCTGAGCGTGTTGTTGACATCGTCCCAATTCTTAATGTGTTCTGACAATGGCCCTTTGTGTATCTTAACCTGACGGCTCGTTAAGTTCATCACCGGCAACCTCAAAAACTCTTGAACCTCCACTAGTTTCTGCGATGTAAACGTGAGTTATGGTAATTAATCAAAGATAGAAGCCAAAGCATGCCATTGTATATGGAGCATCTTTGTGCTTTGTCAAATGAAAGATAGATACATTCAAGGCATTAGGAAAATATATATGTTTAATCTAATTCGAAATTTGTCAAGAAAAAATGTGAGAATTATTATGACAGACAAAATAAGTTCAATTAGAATTCATGAGGACACGAGAAACACATAGTAAGGATAAATTAATACAAAGTTACGAATTTTTAATGTTCAAAAATTTTACAAAATATACAAAGTTCATTAAATGAAATTTTTTAACAACCAATTCATTCAAAAGTTTATGGTATTAGATAGTGTGCAACCTTATCATCGCAAGCAGCCAAACTATTCTGTCGGAGTGGGCCAAACACAGGCAAGTTTAATGATAATCTATAATGATTAGACTTTAACATTGGACCTTACCAGTTCTAGTGTAAACATCTTAAAGCTTGGCATTATGGAGGTCTTAGGGTTTTAAGGGCTCATTTGGGAACTTGGCTAGTTTAGTAGGCTTTTTGGCTTTCAACTATTTTAGTCTGGCTAAAAAAATTGAGTTTGGGATGATAATCAGCTTTTTATTGTAGTTGAATTGATGGTTGTAAGACAAGTGAAATGATTATAGTTTGGATGTGACATTTTATTTTATTGGCTATTTTCACCTATTTTGTCTTTATTGGCTATTTTACCCCTAAAAAACCTCCAACCCAAGTTCCCAAACACCCCCTAAGTCACTTGTTTGCACATTTGTTTCCCTTGTTTGGTCGCATTGTTTGTTCGAGTTCAAATTGTATATCTAGTTGGCTTTCCACGTGTAAGGTACGGTCGTACAAGAGGAGAGAATGTTATGTAGTTTGACACACATTGTTCAATCCATCTCCTAATAGCAACTAATCACCTAACACCGCGTTTAAGTTACTTTAGGAGGTCCTCGATTCATGTCCCCTCTACCTACCTGTTTGACTGTTTCTGTAAAAGTTTTGTCAGAATGGACTCTGTTTCATGTGTGTTAGCATCTCTTCACAAGAATGAGTTTCACAAGAAGGATGATATGAGAGCTCCATACATACTGTTGAATCCATTTTTAAATAACTTGAACTCTTAGATGAAAGGGGTTGTTAGAAGGACTATTTCTAATAATTTGAGCGTTCCAAAAAAAGATATTAAAAAAAAAAAATTCGTTATAGTTCTTACAGTGCGGTTCCTGATTAGGTCTTCATAGTACAAAACCATGTGCCAGGTGCTGTGAAAGTATTCCAAAGCCTTGGTGGCTGTCACCTCCATTTCCTTCAGATCACGGGTCAGTGATGTGGAATTAATTGTTGGCTTGTATTTTGACAATGTTTCTGCCTGTAAGAAGTAACTAACTATGAGATCACACACACAAACACATAAGAGAGGGAGAGCGAGTCAGAGAGAGAGACCTCTTCTGGTGAGTGCACATGAGATTTGTGGGTTCCATTCAATAGCTTAGCATGTTGATCATAAGAATTTGCAAGCATGGAAACCATCCGACGCAATAGATTTTTTCGGAACAGGAATATTGCAGAAACACCTCTACTGTTGAAGTACTCCACAATTTCATTATGGTGTTCCATCAGTCCCTGGCATTAGACACAACAAATTACTCTTAATCTACTGCTCTTCAAACAAAAGCCAAAGAACATTAAAATTTTATTAGCGCTGAATAACCACACAAGAAAAATACTAATGGGAGTTTGGGAATCTAGAAATCTGCTAGCTGGTTACTTTGGTACAAAATGCACAAAACCTGATCTATATGAGACAAAAAAACATTTGGAATTATAGATCCAAGGCACTAGGAGATCACTTCCCAGCAAGTATTTCAGTGAAGAAAAGGGGCATTCTTTTCTACCATGCAAACGATGATAACATAGACCCAAAATGTAACATAGCACAGATATCACATAGACACAGTTCTTTTAAAAAAGGCAAGCCAGTGCACAAGACTCTCGCTAAAGTGGGGTTTGGGAAGGGCAAGATATACGCAACCCTAGCCCCATTTCTGGAGAGGTTGTTTCTGTGACTCGCACCTGTGCCACCAAGTCTTACCATTGGACCAAGACACCCTTCTAATTCTATTTAGTTCAAACAAAACAGCAGGAAATCCACCTCCCAACCAAAACATGCAAGTTGAAGGCATGCATCTTTCATAACCTATAAAGCACTACCACCACTTTTATGACCTTGAAAAGTTACCCGACTTCAGTAGTTAAACATGTGCGTCAGGTTCATTAAAAGACACCCTTCTAATTCTATTTAGTTCAAACAAAACAGCAGGAAATCCACCTCCCAACCAAAACATGCAAGTTGAAGGCATGCATCTTTCATAACCTATAAAGCACTACCACCACTTTTATGACCTTGAAAAGTTACCCGACTTCAGTATTTAAACATGTGCGTCAGGTTCATTAAAAGATAGTCCAGGCTGATATCATGTAAACCACAAAGTTTTCCACTGCTTTTTGTCACAATTTCATAGTTTTTTGTCTCTGAGTACTGTTATATGTTTAAAAAGTAGCAGAACCAAGCTTGGTACATTCTAATCCTTCCTACATTATCTCACTCATATAGAAATCTAAGGCTCTCCTTACCATTGACTTTGCAATTATCTCTTTCACTTGAAGGTAAATGAAGAATTTAAAAAGAAAAATTTAACAACCCAAACAAGATTGCACAATCACAAGAACCCTAGAAAGAGTAAGTTTCTCTATTTGTAATTGAAAAGTAAAAAAATAAAAAAATAAAAATGAAACAAGAATCCTACTCTAAATTATGTAGAGATGAAGATCTGGGCAATATATTTATCAGTAGATTCAAAAGTTCAGAGTTATAATCCTAGCATTGATGCTATCATAGATATCATTACAACTGTCCGTTTTTTCTCTGTATACTTTGCACCTTCTGTAATGTCCAAAAAGTTAATTGAATACAGTTAAAAATTTGATAATCACAAAGAAATTCTCTGCTTCAATGTTTCAATAAATATCGGCCAAAACAAACTGATAACATGTTATTTTGGGCTACGAAGCAAAAGTGTATATATCTCTATAAGAAAAGGACATTCCAAGGTGCAATGTGGAGAAGGGATGTCATAATTTGGGGTTCTGAATAACCTTTATGCCAGCCTCTTTGGCAAAAAATAATCTGACTTCATATGTGCAGTAAACATTTAACCAAAATCAAAATACTCCAACAAGCGTTATTTATTAACCACCAAGTAGAAAAATAAAAATAATCATAGCTTAAAAGATTTTAGACGTTCTTTACCTGATTAAGCATCCATTTGAAGCCAACTGCAGCCGAGCAATGATTCTTCGAGGCACTGGTAAACCAGTCCAAATTGTAAACTCGATCCAAATTCTCCACAATAGAAGATATATTATCCCACCTATTGTTAACCAAAAATATCTCTCCATTGGAACTCACATTAATATGACTATTTAGTAGCGTTTCAAACCATCCACTCCCAGATCTCTGCATTGAGATAATGACAAAGAATCGTACGGGATTACAAGCACATTCAGCCCTGGAAACAAATCAAACCATAACTTAGTCAAACCCTAAATCTAAATGAAACCCAAATTCAAAACCAACAACAACAACAATAATTCACACTTACCTGTTAAAGGTTTTGGGTTTTGGGTAATGCAAGTAGGGAATTTGGGATTTATCGATGCCATATTCACAACAAGGCCTCTCGATGACTTCGATGTTAGCAAATTCAGTCTCGGTGTGGGTTTCTGATTGTTTTACACAGATTGAGCAGATATAAACACCGCATACCATTGTGATTACTAAAACTATCAACCTTAGCAATACTGGAGATTTCTTGGGAGTCTTTATGATGAGAGTATCCTGTGATCGAAAAGCACGGCTCGATGTCAATTACTTTGAAAGGTAACATTGATACAGCAAAATTACTCATTAAACATGAGAGAAATTAGGGTTTGCTTCCTACTCTAACCTGAGCTACCCAACTTACAAAATAGTGCTACTTACTACATACTATCAAAACATAACCAATTAAACATTAATTAGGTACAGAGAAGATAGAATTAGTAAATTCCATCAATAGATTATCTGTCAGCAAAAGATTTTCAAAATCACAGCTTGGATACAGAAGGAAACAAGACAAATTTTCATCCCAATCACTGAACACATACACCCATATCCAAAATTAAAAAAATAAATAAAAATAAAAACACTTCTAGACAACCAGAAAATACCACAATCAAAGAACAACCCATCACTTAAAAAAAAAAAGGAAGAAGAAGAAAAAGAAGTGATTAATTAGTAAATGAAACAGAGTTACCTTATGAAAAAAACAGAGATCTTCGGCCATTAAAAAACGAGAGAAGAAAAGGGTTTTGTTAAAATATGTTAGTATTATATGTTAGTGATGTTAGTATTCTATGTTAGTATTGCTAGTGTTATCATTATGTTTAGTACAGCATTATGTTAGCTGTAATAATTATCCTTGCTTTATGCTTTCGGTGCCTCAATTGGCACCCAATGTTGGCTTTCTCCTCTCTATAAAGAGAGTGTAAATCTCTTTGTAAACATACAGAATAGATCAACAAATCAATCAACAACATTCAATATCAATCAATATATACACAATTTATTTTCTCTCTCTCTATCAATTATCAATTTATCTTACAATACCTATCACTTGTTGGAAACAAGCTCTGGTTTCCAACCGTACTTATGTTACTTGCGGGAACTGTCAAGTGTGTGGAGCGTGTACGTGCTCTGTATCTTGCAAGCTTGGACAAAGTCCGGGACTCAATGCTTAAGCAATCTGAACTGGGTCCTAATCCTTAATACTCTAAGCTCAAGAATTTATATTCTTGGAAGGCATTGGCGAGTCTCCCAATTCGGATGGAATAATTCCAGAACCGCAAATAGTATCTAAATCCAACACAAGCGGTTTGTCCAATTTGTCAGTGTTGCAATCTGCTTTCTATTTTTTTGATACTTTCAAGGGACTCTTTGTTGATCTCATATTCAGCTTCTGTGAGTGAAACCAGAGCCGCGACTTTTTCCTTGAGAGAGCACCGGAAGAAGCTTTCAAAGTACATAACCAATTAAACATTAATTAGGTACAGAGAAGATAGAATTAGTAAATTCCATCAATAGATTATCTGTCAGCAAAAGATTTTCAAAATTACAGCTTGGATACAGAAGGAAACAAGACAAATTTTCATCCCAATCACTGAACACATACACCCATATCCAAAATTAAAAAAATAAATAAAAATAAAAACACTTCTAGACAACCAGAAAATACCACAATCAAATAACAACCCATCACATAAAAAAAAAAAGGAAGAAGAAGAAAAAGAAGTGATTAATTAGTAAAATGCTGTACTAAACATAATGATAACACTAGCAATACTAACATAGAATACTAACATCACTAACATATAATACTAACATATTTTAACAGGTTTTTTGTGCAGAGCTCAGATTTTTGTTGTGTTCATTCATCCCCTTTTTTGTTGCACATTCAGCTGCCGACTTCTCAAGCATGGACATTATATGTATATATACATATAAAATATGTATGTATGTGTATAGAAGTCTCAGCCAAACATCGTGAAGAACAAAGCCATGAATAATCTTTTGTACTAGTTCTTCAATAGAGACTAAGAGCCAACCTCTCTCTCGTCTTGCTGGTCTCTTTCAGATCCTAAATTATTGTAGTGCAAATAGTATAAGAAATACCTACCGTGAACATAGTATTGGAATATATAGACCACCAAACGCAAAGACCAACTGAGCTCTCTCTCTCTCTATCTCTCTCTCTCTCTCTCTGAAGAATCACAATAAAATAAACACAAAGGTCACGGCTGCCGTACCAATTGTAAAGACGACCACGACTTGAAGACTTTTGTTTGTTTTTTTTTTTTTTTTTTTTTTTTTTTTTTGGGGAATTTAAAAAAAAAATATGTGTTTGGTTTGAGTTTTTTGAAAATTTAATTTTTTATTTTTTTATTTTATTTTTGTTTTAGTGAATAGTTTTAAAATTTTAAGTATTTTTTTTAGGAGAATTTTTTTTAGGGTCCTTGGTATTACTATTTTATAGCATAAAGGACATACAATATTTTTATAAAGTCTAAGGTCCCTTAACATGGATCCAGAGAAAATTTAATCCAGAAAAATTCTCTCCAGAAAAATTCTGGGAATTTCCAGAGAAATTCTATGCATTTCCCAGAGAAATTTTGGGAATTGCCCAAGAATTTCTCTATGATTATTTGTTTACTTTTGTAGAATCCTTTCTCTATGAAACCAGAGAAAATTCAGAACCTTTACCAGAGAAATTCAAAATCCTGTACCAGAGAAATTTCCAAATTATGTGAAGAACTAACAGCTATGGGTTTTAACTCAAAAAAAAAAAAAAAAGCAGAGAAATTTCTCTAGAAATTCTCTGAGATTTTGACCACTGTGTAAATTTTCTCTAAGAAATTCTCTGAGAGGTTCCAGAGAAATTTCCAGAATTTCTCTGGACAAAAAATTCTTTGGTCATGTTTGCCACTTACCAAAGTGCTCTAATGGTATGAAGCTTTTAAAAAATTATATAATTTAAAACACTTTTTGTCTATTGAATTGGTGGCTTGGTGTTGTTTTTTTTGGTTTTTTATGTACTTATGGCCCTGTTTGGTAGAGCTGTGGGAAAGTGCTTATAGCTTATGCCTAAACAGCTTATAGCTTATAACTTTCAGCTTAAGCTGATTTCCAGCTTATTCTTAAAGCATCTCCTGCCCCACTCAAAGAATAAGCTGTTTTCTGACTTCCACAAAGCTATAAGTTATAAGCTATAAGCTAAACCAAACACATCAAAATAGCTTAAATTAAGCTGAAAGCTGAAATAAGCTGAATTTAAGCTGTACCAAACAGGGCCAATGTCATGTATATTTGCTACAGGCAAGGGTGAGTCCTAGTGTTGTGGTCTATGCTCAACTTTCAAAGCTTGATGGAGTTCTGGGAAGGTTCTATGCCTTATACTGCTTGGAAATGTATGGGGTGGCAAAATGGTTCTTCCACTGGTATGTATTAATGTGTTTCATGGAATTTCATATTGAATGTTCTGAGCTATGATATTGTTACAGAAAATGTGTCGGTGGAAGGATCTGAAAAGGTTTCATTGCTAACAATTTCTTGGGATCGTAAAGTTCAGTTTGTAAAATTGTTCCGACACTCGATCGCTCGCGATTTTGTTTCTCCATTCTTGATTCGCCAAAGCTTCGCCGCCGGTTAATCGGAGGAAATCGTTGTTCTGGTCGATGTTTAGGACGCATAAGAGCAAGGAATGCGAAGAAGAGAGAGAAAACAAAAAATCGAAGATTGAGATCGATGCGAAGGAGAATTATGCACACTAGATGATGATGATGAGATCGAGATCTGTAAGCGTTCCGATAACGTCGAATTCCAGCGCCGGAAACATGAGATCTTCGTCGGTGAAAAGCAGGGGATTATATTTTCCTAGCCCGACCAAGTTTTTTCGGTAATCGAAGATGTCGAAAGTCGTTCAGGAACGGTCTCCTTTGTACAAAGGTTGATAAATTTTTGTATTGATGATCAAGAACTTTACAGCTGCACTACTAGATCAAATTTTCTGAGAATGGAGAGAGATTTTGCTCTAAAGAAAGATTTGGAGAGGAATCAATTTCATATAGAGTGAACTTTGCGTTCAGCTGTTCAACGAGAGAGAGAGAGAAAAGCAGCATGAGAGAGATAAAGAGCATGAGATATATCAAATTTCTCTGTAATAAATAGGTGTGGGTTAAGCGACCTTAGACATTAAAAAATAATATTGTGGATCTCTTCCATTACTAAAAATGGGAGAGGGACCTTAGACTAATTTTTCCTTTTTATTTTTATTTTTTTAGATATATCTTACTTAGATGTATCTAAAAACTAAAAAAATTTGTAAAAAAATATTTAAAAAAATTAACAAATACATAAAAATACGAAAAACATATTAAATTTTCATATTTTTTTTATATTTTTGGTATTTATTGAATTTTTAAAAGATTTTTTCACAAAAATTATACGTTTTATGTGTATTTATGTTAAGTGTATCTAAAAAATTTTAAAAAAAAATTTACTTAAAATATTAAAAAAATTCAATAAAAACAAAAAAAATATGAAAAACAAGAAAGTAGATTTTCTAAAAACTGTTTTCAGAAAAACAAAACCAAACAAGCTGAATAATGTGTGTGTTTGATTTTTGTTTTCTGAATTCAATTTATTGAAAATTGATTTTTTATTTTTTGTGTTTTTTATTTTTTTTTGTGAATTTTTTTTTAAAATTTTAAGTAATTTTTTTTACTTTTTTAGATGCACCTCTAAATAATAAAATATTTGTGAAAAAAATGTTTTAAAAAATTAATAAATACACAAAAAATATGAAAAAAATATACTGAATTTTTGTATTTTTTTAGTATATTTTTTAAAGATTTTTTTTCACAAATATTATACTTTTTAAGTGTATTTATGTTAGGTGTGTCTAAAAATTAAAAAAATACTTAAAATATTTAAAAAAATTCATTGAAAACATTAAAATACGAAAAATAAAAAAAATAAAATTTTCTAAAAACCACAACCAAACAAACTTAATTTTAATTCTTACTAGATTAAAAAATCCTTCAAAAAGGCAGAGATTTCTCTCTAGTTTATCGTGTGGACTGAAACATATTATTAAATTTGTGAAACTTATCATAGGTTATGTTTTGATTATCCAAATAGTTTAATAGATAGAACTTGTCGAGTACTTCACACTTGCAAAAAATCACGTCGATCGGATATCAGTAGCCTCTTGATCGAAACATATATTTATTAACAATTTAATTTTAAAATCATATTTACCATTGACGAAAATATATTCTGATCAAAGGGTTATCAATATTCAATCGACGTAACTTTTTGCAAACATAAAGTACTCAACAAATTCTATATATTCAATAGTTCAAATTATTAAAACGAAATCCGTGATAGACCAAACATGGTCAAAAACAAAGCCATGAATAATCTTTTGTACCAGTTCTTCAATGGAGAAAGAGCCAATCTCTCTGTCGTCTTGCTTCAGATCCTAAATTATTATAGTATAAATTGTATAAGAAATGCATACCGTGAACATAGTAATGGAATATATAGACCACCAAACAGAGATGAATTGGATAGGGAGGGATTGAAATCTAGCGGATTGTTAATTCTGGGATACATTGCCCTCAGGCTATTTGGTTGGAGTAAATTTGTATCTTATAATCTTATGTTTGTTTGAGATATTATGGAGAATGATAAATGCTTAAATGACTATTTTACCATTTTCAATTATTTACTAAGTAACAATAATATTAAACATATTTTTAATATTTTAATTATTTTTAACTAGATTAAATAAAACTTTATTTTATTTTATTTTTACACAATTAAATAAATTTATTTTAAAAAAATTAAATAAATAAAATATCAATAAAAATATATGTTATTTTTTAATTAAAATTTTATATAAATTTATTTTAAAAAATAATAACAATTAAATAATGAAATTAAATAAAACATCTATTAAAATTTAAATACATTGGGGTTTTTCCAATGTTGCTTTATGTCGATCTCAGTTAGTATTACAACCTCATCTCTATATATTTTCCAAAACAATAATGTTTTTTTGTTTGTAAATCCCCAATCAATGTGACTTTGTGAACTCACTGTGGTTTAACATTTTATGTAGGTTTGATAGTTGTTTTATGTTTACTGTGATTCATGATTTTTAGGAAAAAATTTGCAATTCATCAACTATTGTATTTTGTGTAATGGCATCAAATGGTATTGGGAGTTTGACTAGTTTGTTGTACGAAGTGTGGGTGTGTTGTCGAATGTATCAATGAAGATATGTGCTGAAATTGTGTTTGAATCTCCTATCCAATGTGACTCTGCGTGCTACTGGAACGCTATTATGTTGTGTTACGATGTGTTGCAGGGTAGTGTATATGTGGAATTTTGTGTATTATTTGGTGATGTTACTATAACAGTCAGTAGGAGCATGTGGATTTACACATTACATTTGTTGCGTCAGCATGAGTGTTTTGGTTGCGTGTATTTTCACTTTATAATTTGTTGTTCATGTTATATTAACCACAATATTCACATTGGCAATTGACTCCAACAAAAGAAAACTTTGATATCTTACCTTCGGATAGATCCACCATACAAGGAATGAGAAAAAAAAAAAAAATGTGGGGGGGGGGGGGGGGAATTTAAAAAAATAATAATAATGTGTGTGTTTAGTTTCAATTTTTTTAATTTAATTTTTTAATAATTAAATTTTTTATTTTTATATTTTTTTTTAATTTTTAGTGAATATTTTTTAAATTGTAAATAATTTTTATACTTTTTTAGATGTACCTCTAAATAATAAAATATTTGTGAAACAAAAATTATTTTAAAAAATTAATAAATACACAAAAATATGAAAAATATACTAAATTTTTGTATTTTTTTTTAAAAAAAAATCACAAATATTATACTTTTTAAGTATATTTATGTTAGATGTGTCTAAAAATTAAAAAAAAAAATTGCTTAATATATTTTAAAAATTCATTGAAAATATTAAAATACGAAAAAATAAAAAAAAAATAGATTTTTCTGAAAATAACAACCAAACAAGCTTAATTTTAATTCTTACTAGATTATAAAATCCTTCAAAAAGGGAGAGATTTCTCTCTAGTTCACCGTGTGGACTGAAACATTTTATTAAATCTGTGAAACTTATCACAGGTTCTGTTTCGATTATCCAAATCGTTAATGGATAGAACTCGTCAAGTA